TTACACTGTCGAGGAGGGGAAAGGTCGATCCGATGTTGGTTGTGGCCGAAGGTCGATCCGATGTTGTGAGGTACACATATGGTGGAAAATCCACTACGGTGATATCCGAAAATTGTTGTACAAGCCATGTTCCCTAGTGAGGATATAACCATGTTCAAGGGTATTATGAAAGAGAGGGTTTGCCAGTCTTTATCCGTGCAAAAGATTATAATTTGAAAGTGATAGTGGATTGATTTTGATCCCGTGATTTTTCTCTATTGAGGATTTTCCATTAGATTTAATGTGATTATATTTGGTGTGTTTGAAGATTTTCGGATTTTTGTAACATTCTAAAAATCCCACCATAGAGATCATCGTATTAACTCTGTTATGAAAATATACATAGCAAATTAAAATATAGACCATGTGCCTCCCGTGGATAGAACGAGAAATAAAATAAGAATACGTTACGAGAAAATAACAAAAAGTAGATAGAGCCAAAATATATACATAGCAAATTAAAATATAGGCCATGCACCTCCCGTGGATGGAATAATAAATAAAATAAGAATACATTATGAGAAAATGACAAAGTAGACAAAGCTAATAAATTAATGTGATGTTAATTGTATCTCCGTGGGTTAATTGTGTCTCCATTATTTATATAGGAATAAACTCAAACGAGCTGGAACACGAAGTTCGAAAAGAGTTATTTATTATTGTTTGTTTGTATGGAGTGAAAATGGCACAAATCAATGAAGATGATGCAAGCAAGAAAAACCGTATTTCGTCGGTGTGATGATGTTTCATTAAGACAAGGGCTGTATTTCATTAATTAATTAATTGGGTCCTAGAGATCTAATCATTGAGATGTAGTCTACAATTAAATAGCTAAGGAAAGCACACATGCAGTCGTAGCATGACACTTATCAATTAATTAATTAAGCCAACTAGCTAGTTAAGCAAAATGAAGAGGGGTGTCGGTGTGTCGCAGCAATATTATTATTTATAGTGTATTTCCCGCTTGCATCCACATCGATGGGTACCTTTTAATTAGGCTTTTCATAGGTATAAACCTTCCTCAAATTAGGTCTAGTTTGTCATTACCCAAGATTCGAAAAACACAACCCTTTGTATGTCATTGCGTCTACATATTATCGATCACCTGAGTACACTTTCTTCAAATTCCTCTATTAATAAAAGGGGTTTTATGGGAAACTTTCCTTAAATCAAGCCACATTAATTTCATATTATCATCCTTAATTATCTGAGCTTTAAAATCCTCACTCTATCGACATACTACCACACTTTTACTTTGAAAAGTATCATTTAACGTATTTACCCATGCATCTCTTGCACACGTGTCTTGTGCTTGTGTTTATCTCCACAAAGTATCATTTAACGTATTTACCCATGCATCTCTTGCACACGTGTCTTGTGCTTGTGTTTATCTCCACTAAGAAAAGGAGCCAAGAAAGCCCTGAAAGAGTTTACTGGGATGTAACAGAGAGTCAGTGGAGAGAAATTAACTAAAGGGGTATAGTCTCTGTAGGGCAAAATTATCAAATTGATATATTTTGTTGACCATAAATAATGGATTGATTTATGTTCTTACTCCGACGATGATATGACATACTTTATGGACCATGGAGATAAATACTCTTATTTTTTGGTGCACGTGCATAAAGGAATCTCTTCTTCCCCATCTATAAATGGAGGTTGAAGTTAGCCAAAAGGAATCACACACATCAAATTATATATAGAAACATTAATTAATTAATGGCAAAGATGACTCCTCCTCCTCTCCTGATCCTCATCTTAGGCCTTTCGATCGCAACACAATATTGCTCGGCGGATGACGTTCTCTTCTCACCCGAGGCGCTCTACAGCGATAGCCGCCCCTCCCTAAACTATGGCTATTATAATTTCACAATACAGAACGACTGCAACTTGGTTTTGTACGAATCTGGAAACCCCATTTGGGCGACCAACACAGGTTCACTAGGGAGAAACTGTAGTTGCGTGATGCAGAGCAACGGCAACCTCGTTGTCTACAACCAGAACAACTACCCGGTGTGGCGCAGCAACACCAATGAGGATGAAGACGACAAATACGCGCTCGTTCTGCAGAGTGATCGCAATGTGGTGCTCTATGGACCGGCGCTTTGGTCCACTCGTACGCAAATAGGATCGTATGGAGTTGTCGTTGTTGCTGCGCAGAATTCTAATTCTAACCCTGCTGCTGCTGCTGCTGCTGCTGGGGAAGTGATTGCTGATGTTGGTGCCAGCGATACACGTTGATTATATTTGTTTGTTAGTAATATTGAGGGATGCCGAACCTGGTTGTCTATAAATAAAATGAGCGTGAGTGCAGGCTCACGCACGTTGTGTTTTTAATTTCGTGGATGCAAGTGGTGTCATCGCTGTACTTCGGGAGAATACTCCTCATGTCCACTGGCGGTCTAAATAAAGAGTTACTTTGGTTAATACATCATATTCCACGAACTAATTAACTTGTTTTCGGTACTAATAACTCGGTGGTAATGGCAACCGTAAGAAGGTTGACAAAGTTTATATTGAGAGATTAATGATGAGAGCAGAGAGG